CCCCCAGAAAGCTCTTTTAGTGGACTTCTGACCAGTAATTGCAGTTCATTTAAGCCAAATAAAAGTTCAAAATCTCTAACTTGTTAAAGATAATATATTTCAGTTACACTAAATCACTTTAATGACTGAATCCAGCTAGTTTTAAACTAACTCAGCAGGCTGGGATGAGCTAATGTAGCTGCTGCTGCTGCCTCTGGTAAACACTGCGAAGGGAGTTTACCATTAGCTCATCAGAAGAGGAATATAAGAGGAAAAATGTCATCCGGACATAAAATTAAATACGTAAATACCAGCTCACCTGTTTTGAACGCTGTATTTGCAGTTGCTCCTTCAGTTAATCTGAGCTTTCATTTCGAGCTGCTCCACACGTTGAGCTCCTGCTGCACCACGTTGAGCTCCTGCTGCACCACGTTGAGGCCCTTCAACCCGGAAGCAGATGCGCTGCGATTACTTTAAAAAATAAAAGTCGTTTTAATTCTCTAGAGTGCTACTACTACTACTACTACTACTACTACTAATAATAATAATAATAATAATAATAATTTGATCTTCTCGGGAACCTTGCGATTACACGCAATAGTTCTGTCCCGACACAAACATGTTATTGTACTGATACAAACCTGCTCAGTTGTCATAAGGTTTCTGTTACTTTTGTATCTAATAAAACGCGTGATTTCTGATTTAAAAAAAAAGGGGTATATTAGATACATATGGCATGAAGGAGCTATGAAGAGCTAGAGCTGAATAACAAGAGACACCTCAATAAGCATGAACAGACTGATTTTATTCACCAAAAAATACTTATTTATTTATTTATTTATTTATTTATTTATTTTTTACCTTGCATCGGCTATAGACTGGGCAGAAATGACCCACAAAAAAAGCACACATTTAGATGGATAAACACAATTAAGATTGTGTTAAAGGACTATATATATATATATATATATATATATATATATATATATATAGTACTGTGCAAAAGTCTTGGGCACCCTTTTTTTTTTTTTTTTAGTACAAACTTTGTTATAGATTTTTTTTTTATGACTTCTACATGATCAAGTCAGTACAAAAACATTTTAGATTCCAAACATTAGTTTTCCAGCACAAAATGAAATGTTACAGAAAAATGTTTGTATGTCAGTTTGTATGTAAATAAGCAGCATATTACGTAAAAGAAAAAAGACCACTTTTCAGACAAAAAAAACAAAACAAAAAACATAATGAAGGCTGCTGGGTTTTGCTGCAAAAATAAGAAGCGAGTGTGACAGTCAAAGTCTCCAGAAGAACTGTGGCTGCTTCTGTAAGATGCTCAGTAACACTTACAGCTCATTTCCTTCTGCATGAATTGTACCTGAGACTACTATTTTTTTAAAGCAAAGGGTCGTCACACTTAATATTGACTGTTTCATTTATTACTGTTTACTGTTCTTTATAGTATTTTTTAATGTAGAAACATTTAATTTAATTATTTTTCAAGGCATCTTTGCTCTAGAGCATTTCTTTGCATGTGCCTAGGACCTTTGCACAGTACTATGTGTGTGTATATATAGGTATATAGGTAGGTGCCAAGTGTTTGTTATGTAAAAAATTTGTCCTCCACTTGTCCTCTCTGTGGCTTACTGTACACAGACACTACTCTTTGCTCTCTTAAGCACTAAAACATAAATATAGTACAGTGAACACCTCATAAAAAAAATCCTACTAACATAAAAAAACAAATATATTTATCCTCTGTTTAAGGATATCAGGAATTTTTATATGACCCAGCTAACAGGAATCAATTAAATGTGTTTTTTTTCTTTTCCACATTGAGAAACTGGGTGTGTTACATACAAGGCTTGTAATATAATGCGTCAATCAGTGTGAGAAGCTCAGTGCAGTCATGCCACCTAGGTCATGTGTCTCTGTGTATCTCCGTCTTCTCTCCAGAGGCTCTGAAAGCCAGCAGTGATGTGGATCCTGATCTCCTGCAGAGGAAGTGAGAGAGAAACAGTGCAGCTCTGAGTACTATGATCTGCTACTCCAGTATGTACAGTCCCTCTGACACACACCCACAAAGCATAGTCCAGTGGACTGCATACAGCCTCTAACTTTTTAATATGTGAAAGATCACAATGAAGTTGTTTCATTATAACGTCATACACCATGCTGCTTTTCTGATCATTCTTTATCTAAGGAGATCTGTAACAAAGTTTTTAAAATGTATTAATGGCCATTGTAATTACTACAGGATGTAGATGAAAATGATATGTAGTATTAATAGTAGGATTGATATACATTTTTATTTGCTGTTTTTAATTTCATATACTGTTTACTTGGTGTTATGGCTGCATTTGCATTAAAGGCAAACATGGGAGAAATGGTACACCATTAATGAATTAATTGAACCTCATAAAGACTGTTGTAATATTCTAATAATTGCTAGGTGTCACACAATAGACAACATGAACATTTGAACATATTATGGAGAATAGATTCTATGCTGGGAATGTTGGAGTAAGATTGTAATGTTTTGGTTAAAAAATAACATTCACTATTTTGGTGACAATTGTGATTAGATTAATAATATCTGATCCAGAAATCGTTGATTCGTTTTCAGTTTAGTGCAGAAAGAATTTACTTACAGAAATTACAAAAGAAGCCTTTGTACTAACAAGTGCACGAGGGTTAAACCCGAAGGGTTAAAGCACTCCAGTTGACATCAGAGCAACAGAGAACAATGGTCCTCTGTCTATTCTATAAAGTTCAACCACCATGATGTCTTTTTTATATATAGCTGCATTATTTATGTACTATTTGCACTGCACACACACACACACACACACACACACACTCAAGTTTATAGACTCTTACTTCATATTTATTAATCCCCAACTGCCAAAATTTGTACATAAGACAAAATAGCAATTCAACAAAAGAATGTGCAATACCTTAGTTTTATTTTAATTTTAATTTCTACTGTTATATTTAAAATGTATAAATCTTACCAGATCACACTGTTCAAATGTGCAATATGTTAAGTGCAACATCTTAGCTGCTTTACTATCTTAACTGAACAGATCTGATCATTTATGTTAATATTTATATCCTTTTATATTTATGTTATCCCTTACTCCTTTTATTTTATTCTTATGGACCATTAGGAGGGACACTCAATTTCGTTGTACCCTGTCTTTCTGTCGTTGTAACCAATCTATCTATCTATCTATCTATCTATCTATCTATCTATTAAGAAAAATATCTTTGCACTGTTCTACTCTATAAGGTCACATCTATAATATAATGTAGATCTACACAAGACATGTACTTTATGAACAGGAAATTTTAATTTTAATGGCAAGTGCCAGTTATTGCACATACATTGGGACCACATTACCTTGAAAATGATTTACCTTCTCTGCTTTATAACTTGCCCTCATTTTCCAGTCTGTCATTGAGTTGACAGAGCTGGTACAGAAAACCATCATTAGGTCCGATCTCCCGCTTCTCTCTCACTGTAGCCAAAGCGGCTCGTACATCCAGCTTGTGTCTCAACATCAGGTAAGCAACGACAACTGTTGCTGAGCGACTGTAACCCTTCTGGCAGTGCACATACACCTTTCCTAGAAATAAACAGACCTTTATTTTGCATCTCTAGGAACCTTATGAGGAAATGCATACCTACTATTAATATATTAATAACACTGATTATGTTCCACTGAGACTTTACCTCTGTCTCCTTTATATGCCAGGGCCTGTGCTATGAAGTCTGCACACTCTTCAAAGTATATGCTGAGATTAAAATAGTCTATGTCATTGGCTGGTATTCCATGGTAAATAATGTCTGTACCCACATAATATTCTGCACCTGTCTTCACATGCATGTATGAGTCTCCTTCTGCAACATTAAGAACGTGGGTCACTCTCAGTTGTTGCAAGAGTTTCACATTTCTGGCCACAGACCTGCAATACAGTGGACACAGCAAGTGATACTACTCTGCCATGTGACTACCTATAAATAGTTCAGGTCTTGTTCTATCAGTGTTTTTTTTTTTTTTCCATATATGTTTTATCCTTTTTTTCATATATGTTCATACAATCAGAATTGTAGTACAGAATTGTACTTTTGCAGCCAAAAGTAATTGTTTGCCTTAGGGTATGTCATCTGTGTATATGGTACAATTGGTGTAGCAGTGTTGGCATGAAAGACAGCAAAGGGACCAGTAACTCAGAGCATTTAAGTTTAGCAAGACATACTCATTTCCAAGCAGAATCCTGGGGTAGACTTCATTGAAATCTCTAGATGGCATGCTGAAGTGGCCATTTTCGTCTGACAAAAGGTCATTGAGCTGCTGCACAGACACTCCAAAGTCAGTCATATTCAACTGAAGATCCTCTTAAGTATTACAAATTACATTCCTTGTCTATGGAGGTTGAAGACTGAAGGATTCTTTACATTTTCATCTTTCTAGCACAGAGCTCGTGAACCTTGTTTATCCAGTTCTTCTTTATTCCACCGACTGAAATGCCAGCCTCTTCAACCACTAGATGTCAGAAGATCCTCTTGTATTTTCATAAATAATTACAGTATACTGTATATGGGTCCATGACAATTCTGAGGTTTCCTGTCCAGCTTTAAACACACACACACACGTATACATATACAGTATATCATCATTATCATCATCAACATCATTATTACATTGTTAAATTTGAAAACTTGAGGAGTATGAGTAGACTTTTAAAATAATTTTAATAATAAATTTTAATAATTCTTTAAGTAATTGAATAACACTTTTAAATTTAAGATTATTAAACCCTTACAGTATACATTGTACACTGTAATTACTGTATGATTGAGGTTTTTTATTATTATTACCATTTTTGTTTTGGGTATTTTTTATTATTATTGCTATTTTTATTATTATTTTGTTTCCTTATTATTTTTACTATTATTGTTAATTTTATCATTGTTGATCTACTTACTTTTTGCTGTTAATTTTTAAATAAAAGTCGGGTCCCTGGAGGACTAGTGGTTAGGTATCGGTGTGCTCACTGCTGCAGCCCGGGTTCGATTCCTGGCCAGGGAATATATTATATAAGTTTTGTTCTTTTGTCCCAAGAACATTAAAGGTATTGGAGTGTGTGTGCGTGTGTGTGTATTCTTGTATTGTTCAGTTTTGGGGAAGTTTTGTCCTTTTGTCCCCAACACGTTAAAGGTATCGGAGTGTGTGTGTGTGTGTGCGCATAAAAGTAAATAAAGCTGATAAGCTTTGGTTGTTGTATTTCCAGGTGTTCCTGAGGAGAAACGTCACTTTTTATTGCCATGTGTGTCCTTCTGAGGCACAAGGAGACCTGTAGAGCCCTGGTGTGATGAGCTGTGGGAGGTCTACTTAGCCCTCATATTCTTCTTTTTCTAAAACATGACCATGTTCGAACACAAGGTGTCCACCTGGGACTGGAAGGTGGTGATTAGGTCATCACATATAAGCAGAAAATGACCCTCAGTCTACAGACAGGCCGGACAACCTGCCCATGCAGTACAGGTGTATCTGACAGACTCTTGCCTTAAGTGAGATTTGTTTTACTATCCACTGTATTTTACTTATATAATCGACAGACACTCATGAGTACACACATGTCACTAACAGAAACATTTCACTCCTTTTATGCATGTTTTATGCAACATTAGCGACAATGTTTGTAACCATCCACTAACCAACATTAACCATGCTAATGAAGTACAATGGAGAATGTTCATGTGATGATTGTCACCTGTGTGTGGTCACAGTGAGTTTACTTGAGTGTGCTGTGTTTGTCCTTTTAGAGAATGCTGTGAGTCAGAGAGAGACGAAGCTGACGCAAACACAACACACTCGCCTTGAACTTGAGCCTAGCAGGCTATGAGCAGCTTAGAGTTTTTGGTAATGATTTTATTGGTGTGACGTGAATGGTGCACGCTGAAAAGTACTCGGGGGTGAAAGAAAAATAAATGAAGCACGATGCTCCATCAAAAGTCGCTCCATCAAAAGTCCTCCTTCCCACACACACACACACACATACACACACACACACACAAACGGGGTTCTATAGCAGGGTAAAAAGATACTTCATTTCATTAATTTCTGTGCTTTCTTGAACTGGTTTAGTAAGTATAACATTCAGTTATCTGTAATGACCATCAGATTATTATAAACATGCATTACACATCATGTATATGATCACATAAAGTTCATTAATCTAATGAGATTTACACTCCTTCACAAAATTTGGATTTTAACTGACACCAGAGTGAATATTGTTACAGTAGGCTGAAATATTGCCCATGTGGTCTTTACATTATGGACACACTGCAAAATATAGCATAAATCTTGTATTTTGTTGTTTTTCTAGCTTGAAACCATGACTGTGCCATGCAAAAATAAGCTTCTTTTTATTTTAAATAGCCACTATTCGCAAGGCCTTCGTCTGGTGTAAAGGCCACTTTGATTAACATGACAGCATGTTGGACACTGTGCTGCTGCTGTCTGCCTTAAACTACAGGGTGTCCCAAAAGTCTCCATACATAGGGGATGTTCGTGGACGTCCACTTCTTGGTTGGTCTGCGACACTTCCAGTCTTTTTGAATTTGTTAATAAGTTTGGCAACAGCGTCGTGTGTGATGTGCTTGCCATGTTTCCTATTAAAGTCCATTGCAACCTAATGATGGCTTCCCAATCCAGCCATGAGAATGATTTCAATACGTTCTTGTTTTATCAAAGGCATTCTTAAAGGCTATCTGTAAAAATATATATAATATAAACTAAGTATGAAAAATTTTGGAGGACATTTTGCTAAAAAGTGTTAATTTCCCCTATGAATAGAGACTTTTGGGACACATCTAGGCTTATCAGCGGGCCTTGACCTAATGATTTACAGCCTTATCAGTGACAACTACAGGTTTCAGAAATACAGACCCCTTTTTCTGTCTTACTTTGCTTACAAGTTCTTTTTTTATTGACAAAGAAGCAAAAGAGATACAAGTCTCTTAAATTTTGTGTCTGCAATTTCTGATAATAAAAATGAAAACAATGACTTGTTTTTTTCCGTTCTCATGCCTAGATTTTGAAACAACAATCAAATAACTATTTCTGTTGTATTTTTACATTTCTGTTGCTGACACGAATATAAAATGGCCAAACAGCACATGGACTGTGAAGTAAGATTATTTTAGAAGGCAGATTAATATTTCTTGGAAGAATTTCAGGCTAAGAAAGAGTCATTTTATCCATTTTAGGTAAAAATGGAATGGAGTCGTTTGGGAGTCAAAAGAGTTGGCTCCTACTGGTGAGCTGAGCCAAATGATCTGACTCACTGAAAAGAGCCAGAATTAGTCTGGCTCATTAATTATTTATACTTTTAATGTTTATAAATCAAATTAGTTTGGGTCTAGTAAAAAATTCTGACCAATCAGAGGGCCCTCATCATTCAATCAAGTCCTCACTCTTATGCCTCTTCTTAATGGCAGTTAATATTTATCTTCAGAAAGGGTATATTAGTAGCTTTTTTTCTATACAGGAGAGGATATTTTGAATGAACATTAAATTATGGTGTATTAGGTTGCGGTAAATTATGGCATTGTGAAATCAAGCGTAACCTATACACTGGTCTCATGCGCACTATAATAAGGACAATGCATCATCTTATTTCAGTTGGTGAATGTTTTTAGCTGGTATTTAAGTTTCTCTGTCCTCTTTCCTCTTGCCAGAAAACACAGGTACTAGAAGAGTCCTGGATAAACCCATTGCTTTTCCAGAGGTTTGTAGACGTGATATGCCCTGCACTGGGGGAGAGGCAAGAGCCTTGCCTGATCCCAGAGCTATGTAAGAATGAAAAATATCTTAAATTAATGCAGAACTGCTCAAGCATATTTCATATCTTTTATCTTAAACCAACAACCTTGTTAACTCACTTGAACCCCTGCTTCTCTTTCTTACAAGACAGAACTGCCTGGCCCATTTTACCCAAACACCCATTCTCTCCAGATGACCTGAGTCCTTGTCTTTAGTCCTGTCTCGCTTATAAAACATGGAGAAGGAAGTTTTGGTTGCTGGAACATGGTAGGAGCTGTTCCCCATTTTTGTGCTTACAGAGAACTCCATAAAATTCAGTAGTTTTTTTCAGCAAATGGAGGAATATAGGAAAAAGCCCAAAGGCTAAGTCAGTTTTTGAGGTGAGTCATGTCTCAGATGGCAATCCCCAGGGGTTGGACCAGCGGAGCGTTGAAGAAGGGAACGCCTCCGTCTCCGGCCATAGCCACAGGGACTGATCTTGTGTAGGGGGGCATTATTCATCTTATTACTGAGCTGGCTGATGCGGTAGGCCAGATCATGTACTGAGCAGGTAAGCAGGTTACAGCCTCTTTTCCCCCTTCCGCTCAGATGATCGCTGCAAAAAGCAAGCAAGACAGAAAGTAAAAAGGAAATTATCCTACTTTATGCTCTCCTAGAACATTCAGAAAAGGCATTTTAATCCTCTAAGCCTGCATCACTGTTATTTATCATACTGTTGCATTCATATCTTGCAGTGGAATTACAAGAACATATTTGAATGCTTGGTGTGTCCTGTTGCTGATGAAAAACCGAATCAGCAAAGACTTTGCAATGTATTTTGATTGTATGGAGTTTGCTATGAGAGGTATTTGTTTTGTAGTTTCTACTTCAAAAAATACTGAAAGCAGGGTTGTGGCCAAATTGCAGCCCCAACACTGACCTCATATCATTTCTCAGACTGTCTGTTACTCCTATTCAATTCATGCATAACTTCATAAGCCATATCTAGCGTTTGCTAGCTTGTTTTGTATTAAATCATCATTGTATCATAATAGGAACTTATTGTTACGAACTACTGAATATAGCTACAATGAAACCCATTAATGTTATAATGTGGCCATTCATTTTGCACCATTTTGAAAATCAGATATTCTTTAAATGCGTACTTGTTGTATACGTTTTATTAGGTGGTGCCATCCCATTGCCAAAACCCAGATATGCTACTGGGGGAGAGAGAAAGCCTACCTGCTCTGTGTTAAAGGTGTCCCCATATTCCTGTTCTCTTGCTGAGCAAGGAGTTCAAATGAATCTTCTAATCTCCCCTTAGGCACACCGAGATTCCTCTCCTGCAGTGCCACATTCAGTCTGGCACACAAAGACCAGCACAAACATATCAGCATCAGAATTGCAAACGTGTAATTTCAAAAGGAGAGACAGATTTTTTTTAAAAAGTGCTGATGCTCGGACATACTTCTTTTCTCTGTCAGAATTAGAAGGAAATGTTGCACAAGGCACAAAAGCAACCAGCAAACACCAAATCAGAATACTCCTGAAGAAGACCTTCTTCATTTTGACTTTAACCTGTAGAAAGAATTCAGTTCATTGTGGTAGTTTATGAAACATTTAATAATGCATTTCTGTAGAAATTGAAAAGTTGCCTAAAATAGCTAAGACAGACAAGTCTAAGCCACACTCATCCCTAATCTGCATTAGTCAATGTATGAAAAAATGTGTAACATTCAGGCAGATGTTATTGGTGTTATAGTGAGGCAAGCATTCTCTTGGAGGTGTGCTGCTTTACTGGGAGTCAATAAGTGCTGCCTCACACATGATGATAATCAGACTGCTGACAGCTGGATGTCTTTCCAACACAAACTTATTTTAGCCTTGACCTCTATGGAATATGATGATAATCATGTCTGAGTAGCATTGCAAGGGTACATACCTGAGAAGGTTTGCTCCTGAGCGAGAATTAAGATCTGTACTCCTGACTTCAACACTGATTGGATGGTCTAGAGAAATAGGAATTCCCAAATAATGTCCTGTGTGTGTGTGTGTGTGTGTGTGTTTTAAAGAATGAAACAGCTGTGTCACTATCAATGATCCAGGGAGCCTTTTATACTTTACAAAGGGTGGGACAAGGCGGGAGTTAGGATGAGTGACATTCAGCCACAACCTTATATGCCCTGTCTTTTTCAGACAAAGGAATGATTTTCCAGCATCATTAACAATAACTGCCCATTCATTATCTCAAGACATTTGTTATAATCCATTGTTAT